GTACATTTAGTTTGTCAAAATGTGAGTAAAGATACATACCATCTTGTATTTGGCAAATTGTAATTGTTTGCATTTACTTCTGGTAGAGAAGCCATTTCGTTCTCTCTTTTACTGTTGTGTTGATCAGGCTCCAAGAATGGATAAAAGTTTTACAAGTCATATCAAAAGAACCAACCTTAATTCAAGATTTTTCATGGAAGAAACTGATAGGATTGAAGCTCAAGCCTTAGTTATTCCATCAGATATTAGACATCAGGCAAATTAATATCGTATTGTCATTCAATTGCAAAAAAATTTGGTATTGATTGTGGTTTACATTTGTGAAGCGTTAGCTTTAACAAAACACCCCAACAATCATGTAGTTTTAGTTCCAAGCACCCCCTCCCCCCATCGGTGGATCACAACTGTACTTGTACATTTTTTATTTATATTTTTAATTTATCGAGAGTATCATATTCGGTGTAGACATAACTGACATTCACTCAACATCCTTGTCTCATGCCGAGCACACAGAGATGGCCCATCCTGCCATGAAAATATATAATTTTTCTCCCTTGATGATCATCTCCTAAAAAATGAGAGAGAAAAATATAAATTAAACCATCATCCAAATGCCTTTTTGATGTACATGTACAATAAAACCTCATTCAGGTGGACCCCACAAAGCTGGATATCGCTAAAGCTGGACCAAATTTGCCAAAAGAATTCAAATAATAAAAAAAAAGGAGGTACATTAGGACAAAATTTATCCTAAGATGCCATGTCTGCCTTGAACCAAAATTTTTGGGGACCAAGGCTGACAGACCATGTGGTTCACCCACGCTGGTAGAACAAAGGGACAGGCTCAGTCATAAATCAACGTTGCCCGTGATAGCGTCTCTTTCACTCTCTCACTCCGTCAATTGTTTTATTGCCATTTAGATGTGCTGAACTTTATTTTAATAGTTGCAGTATTTGGCATTTCCAATAATGTGGTCATGTTTTAGGGTGAAGTAGCATGCATATTTATTGCATTTTATTGAAAAAATAGACAATAACCATGGGTCCTAAGAAAGTATTTGGTGTTCATAAGGGTGGTGAGAAGGTTTAGCCTAAAACCTCAACAGTGAACAAAAAGTTAAAGGTGATTGAAAAACTAGAAAGGGGTGCTACTCCCTTGTAAATAGGTGCTGAATACAGAATTTGGAAGCAATCGGTGTTGGATATGTGAAAATCAAGGAATAAGTTGCACAAGTGTACAGTACTCTGTACAGTCAGCAAAATATTATTCTGCACCTTTACGGGTTCCTACAGTATGACACCAGACCAAGAATTCTTAAAACACTCATGAGTCAAAGCGGATGTTGGTTGCCCTGGCTTCCTGAGTTGCCAGTTACTCTTGTATATAGTGTGTCTGCATGCACAATGTGTTACAAGATGCATATAGAGCAGTTAACATATATCTATACTGTACAGTGGTATTTATAAAATAATCGACGCTCAGTTACCTGTGCGTAAAATTGTACAACTTTCCTACCTTACAAATGTTTTGTATTGTTTTTTCTGGTTGAGGTCTTGTATTATGCCACTTCTCATCACTTTATCAGATAGTGGTTATAATCATGAGTACAGTATTTACATGATTTCGTTGTACAGTATCTCATAGTATGCGAAATTCCTATACAGCACCTCAGTTTCTAGAGTGCCTGCCATTCCTACCATGTTTGGGTGATCAATCGTAGTACTACTGTATACAGCTCCTCCCCGACTTACGACCTGCCTCAGTCGTACCAAATTTTTTTTAAATTACGTATTTTCGAGTCCCAACGTCAGTATACAGAGAAAACTTTTGTTTGTAATTCACTTTAAAATGGCTGGCAAGCTTAAAAGTGAAACTTTTGTGGTGCTGAGAAGAAAGAGACACCCATTTTAGATTTTCTGTGTATTATTTAAGCATTTTCGACTTACGGCCTGGATTTGGGTCCCTAACCCCGTCGTAAGTCGGGGAGGAGCTGTAGTATATCTGGTTTTGGTGCTATGGGTTTTATATGTATTCCTGATAATTTCTCTGTGGTTACTACACATGGTATAAGGAATAATAGCACATTAGTTTTACAATGAATCACACAATCAGGGGAACCAACCTTACCAATACATGGCGTCAGTCTCGCAGTGTTCGTTGCGAGAGCCATCGCACCCAGGGGTGCAGAATAATTTTATGCTGATTGTACATTGCTTTTAGTTCTGTATTTTTTATGAAAAAGCAAACAAACATGCATTTCTTTCATAAAAATTGAATACATTAGTGTTGTACTAATCTTTTGTTTTTGTTTTAAAATTTGCTTTAAGGTGGACAACCTCTTATCCCGGACAACCCTTCTCTCCAATTAGTCCGCTTTAGTGGACTTAAAAAAGATATCCCAGATTTTTGTATTGTAAATTTAGCTTTAACAGCTCATCTGTCACTTGCATAACTAGGCTTCACAAACAATAGCTTTTGAATAGAAAAAAATTGGGAAGCTAATAAGGGTCACCTTCTGAAGTTTGAAGAAAATATAATCTCTTTCAAATGACTTTTTCTACCTTTAGAATTGTTACCATTTCAAGGCTTTATTCAGATCACCTGAAGAATAGCCACCAGTTTATTTTACTTTAAGATTAACCACTCTAACATAACCAAATTCCACCTAACCCCTCAGGTACCATTAGGGTCTTTAACCCTATGGGTATGAGGGGTATCTTTTCTGAATAAAATCATCTGGCATTAGCCATATAAAATATTAAATGTGGCATCCTATAGTGAGGGGGTTAATTATCAGATGAAGTACCAGTACTCTAGGGGTTAATCTTCAAGGGATCCAATTTTAATTGTTCATTGCATCTTTGTCTTCCTTGGTATTGTTTTTTATTCTGCAGTCCTATTAAAGCATGTTTCTTCACTTCATACAATTTTATCTTTTCCTTTATTTGCAGTTTAACATCCACTTATGGAATTGCTAGCTGGACAAAAAAAAATAGTGTTTGTAGATAAAACATATATCAGTACATGTAGTTGTGTAAATTAAGTTCAGTAACTTCAAAGAAGAAATCTGCTGGGGAAATGCATTCATTGTCAGTTAGTGAAAGTTTGCTTAGCAAGGCCATGACATGCCTCATCAGAGGAAGTTGTGGTTGATTTCTCTGAAAGTTTGTAGTGGGTCATGTGTACAGGTGTACTGGTACCGTATCAGAATTTACTGGATGTGCTATTTCCAATAAAACAGTTTTAAGTTAAACATTTGAGAAAGCTTGTGTGTGGACACACTTTAATTACCGTATACACACAAACACTGTATATTACAAACATTTACGTTCAGTGTTTGTTTAGTTTGTCATTTGGGTTGAATTGGTTTTGACTTATTTTTTATGGGTCATTTAACTTGTGACCTATGAAATTACCATACCAGAGCATCCCTTGTTAGGTGAGCTATTTGCTATCCTAGGCAGGGATCCTGTATTGTCAATTTAGTGTAAATTGCCACATTTCATAACTAGATAACTTAGCACTAGACAGTATGAAAAAGTCTTTCCAAATGATTGTTTACCAGAGGTTCATCTCTAAACAGTTGCTAAGCAAAAGTATCTGGTCATTGATATTTTGCAGAATTGAAACTTCATAATCCTTTGTTACAGTTTTTGTGATTAACAGCTGGAGTGATACCATAATTTGTAGAAGATGGTTACAGTTGGAGCTTCAGTTATCACCTTCTCACATGTTACTACTATTTCCCTATTTATTTATTTTTTTTTTTTATACAGTGTATTTTTTTTTTTTGCTGTTGGTCAAGAGGCACTGATATGAACTGACTTTAATAGACTGGAGAACTATGTGATAAACTGAAGCATTTCTAATTTTGTATTAAAAAAAATAATATATACTTTGTGGACATGTTAAATTGAGTAGCTCATATTTACATTTTCTCGTTTTGACTGTCAGTTACTTTATTAAACAATAAATGTTATTTCCTTGGTGAAAGTTTAAATAAATATTGGTGAACTGGCCCTTTAACCATTGATTTTTGACGAGTTAATGGAGCTGGAACATGTAAAACTATATAGGGTTTTAGTAGCAAAACCCAACTGTCTTTCTTCTATTAAGAAAATATATTATATACAGTTCCAAGTGTATATCACCGTAACTTAATCACTGTAGCTATGAGTGTTAAATGAGGATGGAGACTATGTTAAATAGCTCTTATAAAATACGTCCTGTTGAGGTGATGGGTTGAGTAAGTGTGTCTGTAATACCCGTCGAGGGAGAATTGTAATATATTCAACGTCCTCCCTCGAGGGAAGACGGAACCATCCGTGATGGCTCTCAATAACGTCTTCCTCTAGTGTAGGATATCAAACTACTGCCCGCATTAAGTGGCTAGAGAGCCGGCTACTTAATGCCTTAGCTCAGCACTAAGTGACGCTACTTCCCGTGGGCACACCTTAACACGTGCTCTGAACATGCTACCTCATAGCTAGTGAAAAGTTACGGAGGGTGTTAAAGTATATAAGTCTAATGTAATTAACCCATTTATATAAATACTTCTGCCTATAAGACAGGGGTGAGCATAGTGGCATGAAAGGAAAGGAAAATGGTTGAAATGAAATTTCAGGGAGCTGAAGGCATTATTAACAGCAATCATAACAATGTAAGGTGGCCTGTGTAAACAACATGGACTGAGTGCCGACTGGGGGGAGGGAGGGAGGGAAGGATCAAAGATAATCCACATTCTCAACAGCACCAAGTGTAGGTAGCAGACCACTTACATTTTCAAGAATTGGTATTTATATTGAATCGCATATACTGTACATGAAATTGATGTTTTACTCTACTATGGAGTACCTTCCCACCATCCCTCTCTTTTTCTCCTTCTATTTACACTTTTCTCACTTAGCTATAGGATTACTCAGAATTTATTGAAATAAATTCCCAAGTAGCTGTACACTAAATTGAGATGTCACTAATACATGTATCTCTCATTTGACAGTCTGCTGGGGATCGTGAGATATGCAGACGATCAAGTGTGTGGTGGTAGGAGATGGAGCGGTGGGTAAAACCTGCCTGCTCATCTCCTACACGACAAACAAATTCCCTTCTGAGTATGTTCCCACGGTAAGTAAATGGAGGTACCTGTACATTCCTTTTCAAGAAGTGCTGATGTGTCAGTACTCTGCTAGATTTATTAGCTGGTTTTTGATGAAAAGGTAAATGAATACAAGCTTGCTCATTTAAATTCATCTTATTATTGTTATAGTTATTACATAAGCAGAAATTCCTATACCTTTCATAAATTAATTGCTTATATACACACACACACAGACAGTGTTGTACGCATCAACGAAAAAAAGTGGCAGCGTCAGCATAAACGGCCGAGAAATTTGATAGCATCGGCGTTAGCGAGTTTTCAGTGACGTACAAATACAGCCCTGAAACGCGTATACTCCTCTGTATGGGAGTAACATGCAAAATCAAAAAATTTTCATTAATTTTTAATCATTTATTATGACTTATATTATATCATTTTAATTATTCATTTGTTCCCCCGCAAGAATACTGGCATGTCAAAATGTTTGTCGCTCATTCTGCTGCGCTTGGGCCTCATGGCCTTGTTGGGGAAGGTGTCCTTGTCGAAAGTTTTTCGAAGGTTTCTCCCCCAGGAAATGCTTGAAAAGGTCACTGTCTTTTTCATTCCTGCAGGGGGTCTCGTACAGGGCCTGGAACAATTCGTCCTCCACGTCATGGTCTTGTTGTCTTCTCATTGCTGCTGCTGCTCTGTCTCATGCATGAACTTCTCGACCAACCTGGACAACTGGTTGATGGCCTTTTTCCTGACTAACAAATTGACGCTTGACGCTTCGCTCAGGTGAAAAGTTGACTGCATTGCCTGTAGCGTCACCTGCCCAAAAAATTGATGGCGTCGGTGTTAACAAAAATTTGCCGCCGTCCATTGACGGCGTTATATTAATGTAACCATTTCGGAACTCTTACAAGCATTACAATCTATTAATGCCATACTTGCAATCTTTATTTTTAAATCTACAAATACTTGATACAAATGAAGATTTACACAACTTTCTTTTTACATTTGTGTCTGTTAACATCATTGGCAGCATTGTAGCCAGGTTAGACTCCTCACTATTACTACTAGGCTACTGGTGTTATGGTTTTTTCATCTCGTATTTTTGGGTAAATATACGTTACTTTCTTCATTTATTTTTACTTAGTTATATGCTCTCACCATCCTTCATACATATTGTAATAAAGGACAAGAAATAATAGTCCAAAGGAGAATCATGTAAAGGGACCATACATGTCTTTACACACAAGTTAGCTGGCTAGCTCAGTGGGGGAGCGGGTGGAGGCTGGATGTGGGGGGAGCCTTGCTAGGGGATCGGTGGAGGTGGCGTCTGCGTTGTTATGGTGAGCCAGGGACTACAGTACAGTACAGTATATGCAAATGGCAACTGTGTTAAACTTTCACTTGGCTTTTATTTACTGGTTTGGCAATACAGTATTTTTTGTTGTACAGTACTTTATTTATTGGTATTTCTATTTATTCCTCACATTTACTGGTACTGAATATATTATTTTAAGAAAACTATGGCTACAGGAGGAAAATACACACAAGTTCCCCTAAATACTCCCTGCCAATATGGACCGTGCATCTTATATGCTTTAAAATACAATAAATATATTTTAAAGGCAGAAAAACATTTTCATTCAATATGATATAATTTACTCTTTAAAGAAAAAGACTGAATTCAACTTGTAAATACTTTGGGGATGGTATTGGTCAAGGCAACCACAATGGGTGAATGATAGCTAGCTGCTGCTGGCCTATTACAGTGTCTTTATTTCCTTCATAAAGCATAAATCAATTTTTTATTAAAATTAGTTAATGCATTTCAGGCATTAACATTGTACTATCAGGGAACACTTGGTAAACCATGGAAAATGATTATCAGCCACTTGGAAATGTCATGGCATAAAACTTTACCACTTGATTTGAGTGCACAGTTTTGTGAGAAACATGAGCTGCAGGTGTTCTGATGAGGTGGATACTATTGGGGTCGTGATCTGTAGTCTGAGTGAACTCTACATCCTGTAGGTGATCTTAGTACTGTAAGGTGGTAAAATTGTCTTCCCCCACAAGGCCAACTTTATGTGTATCAATTACTGGTTTGACACCCTCCCCCCTCCATTCCTTTGTCAACATGACTTGATCTTATCTCACACCACCACTAGGGTACATCAATACACAGCACTTGCCTAACAATCCTCCTGGGCAATGTCACCGGACTTGATGTCGCCTTACACCTCATCTTCATGATTGCCATGCAGGTAGTAGGCAGCTACCAAACAGAAAGGTAATAAATAATAATGATAATGAACGGTTTATTGAAAAAGTTTGCAGCCCGAAGGCTGAAAATATACATTGGACATAAATGACTTATTACATACATTGGTGGTTTAACAAAAGCCTTCATTAGAGAAAGGTGAAGGAACATATACAGTGAACATACAGATTAATGTTTACACACGTAGATCATGTGAGCTGAGGTGTTGAACAGCAGACACGTAGTGTAGTAACTCCCTCACAGATGGCGTTATGAGGGGCATCGCGTGGAGTACTAGATCCCTCACAGGTGGTGTTATGAGGGGCTTGACGTGGTGTAGTAATTCCCTCACAGATGGTGTTACGAAGGGCCTGATGATGTAGTAGTTCCCTCACAGATGGTGTATGAGGGGCCTGATGATGTAGTAATTCCCTCACAGATGGTGTTATGAGGGGCGTGATGTGGTGTAGTACTTCCCTCACAGATGGTGTTATGAGGGGCCTTATGTGGTGTAGTAATTCCCTCACAGATGGTGTATGAGGGGCCTGATGTGGTGTAGTAATTCCCTCACAGATGGTGTATGAGGGTCCTGATGTGGTGTAGTAATTCCCTCACAGATGGTGTATCCCTCACAGATGGTGTATGAGGGGCCTGATGTGGTGTAGTAATTCCCTCACAGATGGTGTATGAGGGGCCTGATGTGGTGTAGTAATTCCCTCACAGATGGTGTTATGAGGGGCCTGATGTGGTGTGTAATTCCCTCAGATGGTGTTATGAGGGGCCTGATGTGGTGTAGTAATTCCTCACAGATGGTGTATGAGGGGCCTGATGTGGTGTAGTAATTCCCTCACAGACGGTGTTATAAGGGGCATCACATGGCGTAGTAATTCCCTCGCAGGTGTTATGAGGAGCCTCACATGATGCTGTAGCAACTCATTCACTATGCGGTGTCGTGCATAATGGGGACACCACGTGGTCCGTTGTCACAGGAATTCACTCACTCAAGTGGGTGAGGTGTGGTCCCAGGCGCCTCTATCATGGAGTCTCGGGGGAATTATCACTGGGTACCTGGGACCTCAGAGTGTGAAGGTTAGCTTGGCTCAGACTCAACTGCCGAGTTGTTTTTCACTGACTTAAGCACTGTTCACCACTATTCAACACTGGTTCCATTCCTTTCCCAAATGAAATAGTAACTTCTGGCGAGAACTTGTTGATATTCCGGTGGGGAGGAGGGTGTTGGTATGGGCCAACATAACAGTTGACGTGGCTGCTGCTGAGCAGCGCCAGGTGCGTCTGACCCTTCTTGACCCGTCGGTGGTCAAGGATGAAGTACTACCGCCTGGGAAGATATTGGAAGCATAATGTATTGTCTAATGGTAGACCCTGCTGCTGTATGGCATCACGAAAATTGTGACCAAGTCCCAGGTTGCTGATCTGACTTTCTGCCTCATTTAAACACAATTGCAGGGTCTCAGTTGTTTCTCTTACTTTGACAACACAACATATACATACTTTATATTGTTTCTCACTCTTGATTTTTTTTTTCATTTTTGTATTTCTTTATGGTTTATTATTATTATTATTATTATTATTATTATTATTATTATTATTACAATTACATTTTCGCCCCCTAGGCCCCGATGTGGGTCAGTGACCTGTGCCCAGGTGGGTTAATCCCCGTAAAAAAAAAGAAGCTTTCCCACCAATCAGTGACCAGACCACTTCCTTAACCAATTTTTCTTTTACATATCACAACAGTTAGTCATGCAGCCCATCTGCTGACTGAGAATGCCACTCAGCACTTAGATATGAGAATTACTGTATTACATTATCTTAGAACCTCTGACATTGGAATCATATTTGCTTCCTCTGATGAAGTATTTTATTGCACACACCTTATTTCTTTATAAGGAGTGTATATTTGACCATGGCTGAGTTCCCATATGAAAGAACAGTACTGTACTAGTCATGTGATATTCCATTATGCAGGAGTATGAAATTGCATTAATGGATTCTCAAGCAGCCAACTGTTGTCATTTGAATAATGAAGTTTGGTACTGTATTGTGCATACAGTACTCAAATCACTAATCACTACAGGATACAACCATTGCCCTGGTGTCTTTGAGATGGTTAATTTATGTTTTCTTATTGTTTTGCAGTTATAGTAAACTATATAATTATGTATAAAATTAGAATTGTTTATATTCAAGCAAATCATTCATTTCCCCAATTGAAGTATAAACAGATACAATACCAAGGTATTTAAACAGGATTATATAAAGGCTTGAAAACTAGCCAAATATTGACACACAACATTATTCCAAGCTTTATTAGGAATGACTATTTACCGGTCAGTTTTTTCTCTCTTTTATAGATGTTGCAGCCTCTTATGTGTGTCCTTATGTCTTACAAATGATTAAAAATGTCTTCTTTCCAGGTATTTGATAACTATGCAGTTACGGTAATGATTGGAGGTGAACCATACACATTAGGCCTTTTTGATACAGCAGGTAAGTGTTTTCCATCCTGTTGATGTTTTGTATACTGTATACAGTATAATCAAATTGTTTGTTATAAGCTATTGTCAGGGTCATGAAGCATTTACAAAACATTAATATTGTGTTCTGCTCCTTTCATATATTAAACACATTCTAGTACTGCAAACAATTATGTCAAAAGTTTTGAAAGAAGTAGTGATGTCATCTGGTTCCAGGACTAAGCTGCCATTTGCATTTAGTCCCCAGGTGTCCACTGTAGAGACCAGACATTTCTCCAAGTCACACTTTACTATTGTTGGCCTGAGTGTCTTTCCCCCTTAGTATGACACGTTTAGGGTAGTTCCTTGAGATTAACTCAGTTTGAGATGTTATATTTAATTCAAGATTTGTATTAATCAGTCATAGATCTTTTAATTGGGGGTATGTTTGTCATATGTGGCATGGTTGTAAGTAGCTGGTGGGGTCAGTATGACTTGGCAATGTTGCCTTTCTTCATGCTACAGTAATTCAGTCAATTGTAGGATAGCCTTATTCTAAGTGTGGACTCTGACGTAGGGATTCTAAGTGGATGTGACAAATGGTGGAGCGTTCTGGGGAGTTTTTTTTTTTTCTATTGGTGTTGCATTAGGGATCTTTTGCTTGTTGCTTAAACTTTTGTCTTTAGCCAAGTTGTAGTTCATTCCTTTTTTAATTTTGAACAGAATCTTCTTTGGCTCGCTGCAACTTTTAGCGATTCCCATGTTTTTCTGTTTTATGCAGTCATTTTTCTAGTGTAGGATAGTTAGCTCTGTTTTTAGTTCTTGGTTTTGATCTGCATGGTACTGGCTCTTGTCCTGGATAGTAAACTTTATAAGACATTCTCTATAAATGGGCAACTGTCATCCTTTGTCCCAGGGGGTTCTTTCTAGATACCAGTGGATCAATTTCTCCCACAGGTCTATATGGCTTTTCTATCTGGCTGTCTATTACTTGAAAGACCTAGTGGAAGACATCTTACGAGAAGATGAGGAGTTGATCCTTAAATCCTATTTTCTAGCTGGCGATATAACCAGGTGACTTGGATACCCTCCCCTCTTCCTCATGATTATGTTTGGTCAACTGGAAACAGTGCAAATACAGTACAGGTAGTCCCCGACTTAGGACTGCATGGACTTACGTCCATCAGTACTTACGACCTGCTCTGACCTTACGACTGTCGGGACATACGACCGCGGCAGTCGTGACCAAAAATATTTTCAAATGACTCGCGCATTTTCTATACCGAAACGTTTCGGTCCCGGGTGAGAGCGTGGGTGCACTCACTCAGGAGAGCGCTTAGTTGGTGTTTGGCTATCGTATCCTATATACTGATCGCGCTGTGAACTTTCATTATTATCGTATTTAATTGACTTTATAATGACTGGAAAGCGTAGAAGTCAGAGTGCTGATGGTGCTCCAAAGAAAAGGAGACAGGCAATTACTTTTGAGATGAAAATGAAGATAATAACTCAGCATGAGAATGGAAAGACTAGCAACAATCTCACGTGACCTGGGTTTCTCACACTCGACCATATCCGCTATTCTGAAGGACAAGGAACGTATTCATGATGTAGTGAAAGGAACAACACCAATAAAGGGAACTATAATTTCAAAGAAAAGACAAGGTCCTATTCACGATATGGAAAAATTATTGGTGATAGGGATAGGAGACCAGATACAGAAGCGTGTACCCTTAAGCCTTCTAACCATACAGGCTAAAGCAAGAAGCCTGTTCCAAAGCCTGAAGGAGCAGGCAGGAGATGAATGTGATCAAACCTTTACAGGGAGTCATGGGTGGTTTGATAGATTTAAAAAACGCTACAGTCTACACAATGTTAAGGTGAGTGGAGAGGCAGCTAGTGCCGATGTTGGTGCTGCCGAACCTTTTAAGGAGGAGTTAGATGAAGTGATTGTGGAAGGGAATTATTTGCCTGAGAAAATATTCAATGTGGATGATACTGGATTATTGTGGAAGCGCATGCCTGAGTTGTCATACAGTTTCAAAGGAGTTAACGAAAATGAAGTTATTTCGGATATTAATAACAAGATAGTGGAGTTAGGTAAACAGCTGGAGTTAGAAATTGATAATGAAGATGTTGAACAGTTGGTTGAAAGTGTAGCAGAAGAGCTCAGTAACGAGGATCTTATTGAACTAGATGCACAGAAAATTGCAGAGGAAGAAGAGAGACAAAATGTAGAAGAACCTGCACCCCCCAAAAAGTTTTCAGTGAAACAAATGGCAGAGGCATTTGCTGCAATTAATAAAGGAATGCAAATGTTTGATGGCATGGATCATGGTTATCAAAATTATGAGCGTTATGCCAAAGTTGACAGAATGATCCAAGATGCACATAAACCTGTCTAAAGAAAGCAACATTGATGACCCACCCAGCCCTGTCTCCTCCTCTGCTTCATCCATTTAATATAGTCCATGTATCCTGTAAATAGAAAATTATGGGGGCTCCGTGTGCATTCAACTGACTACATTAAAGGTAAGTGCTCAGTCACACTGTATCCATTCCTCATTATTTATTACTTTTACTGTACTGTATATCATTGTAGATTATTATTATTATTATTTTTTTTTTTTTATCTATGTCGGACTTACGACCTGGATTTGGGCCCCTAACCCCGTCGTAAGTCGGGGAGCACCTGTAGTGGATTGATACTGGAAGTTTACTTGATTGTGGCTTTTAGCTGGTGAAAGGTGTGTGTGAGTGGTGAGTAGGAAGGGGAGAGAATAATCTTGCATGCCCTCTTTTGCACTTTTTATAGGTGTTTACGTTGTGTGGCATTTAGGGAGGAAGGCCAGGTAGGGGAGGCATAGGTGAGCTTGGGAAGTATGAATGTTGAGTAAACACTGAGGTGCTCGGGCGCAGGAACTCCGAGGGACTTGAGCCAGCTGAGGAGGTGGAGACAGAAACTGGAGGATTTGACAACTTCACTGACTTGTGGTTTCCAATTTAGCTTGTTGTCTATGGTGACGCCGAGGAGCTTAATGGAATCTACAACCTGGTGTGTGTGTGTTGGGACCTAAAGTAATGGAAGGGGGTTGGACAGCGTCGGAGGAGAGGTTGATATGCGTAACCATGGTCTTGGTATGGTGATGTGGTTGTTGGTGGCCCGGTTTTGGGGACTGTTCAATAAATCCTGAAGGGCGGTATAGTCGGGAGCAGAATTGTTGACACTGATCCCAATGGTGGAGTCGTTGACATATTTCCAGCAAGCAGGGGTTTCCCATGGGGCATCATTGATGAGCATAAGGAAGCATAGTGGTCCCGTCTTGGTGCCTTGGGGGACGCCACAGGTGAGTGACTGAAAGGTGGAGACAACCCCTCGGAAGCGTACAGCTTGGCGTCGGTTACTGAGGAAGTCTGTAAACAATGGTACAAGACTTTTTCGAAACCTGAGGTCGATAGCTTTATTGATGATCAAATTGTGGTCGACTAGGTCAAATGCCTTGGTGAAGTCACTGAAGGCGACAGCTACAGACGTTTTTCGTTTTTCCAGATGGCTGTATATGTAGTCGAGAAAGCTGACAAGACAGTCAGTGGTGGAGGAAGTTTTCATATTACCAAATTGCTGAGGATCTATGGCCCCTGCAATATCAGCCCAGTCAAACACTAAACTTTCACAGATCAAGCTGGGTATTGGGGTGATTGCAATGGGTCGTAGCTGATTAAAGGATTGTGGGCCGGTTGACTTGGGCACTGGTGACACTTACGAAGTCTACCAGTCAGCTGGGCATCTGGCTTGACTGAGGGAAGCATTGATAATGGAGCAGAGGGGTTTAGCTAGCTCCGGGGAGAACTCCTTGAAGAGTGTCATTGGTAAGTCAATGGGGGTGGTAGAGCGTTTTAACTTTAGTTTGTCCAGACGTTTTGCTACTTCAAATTCTTCTACTAAGTCAGTGGGAAGGGGGGCTGGTAGGTAAGCAGGGAGAGTTGTTGTGTCAAGCCAGGGAGGCGTTTGGCATATAGTAGCGAAATGGTTATTTGATTGCTCAGCTGCACCAAGATTAGTGGGATGGCTAAGGAAGGGGAGGGGGTGTGTCTTATTGTTTAGTCCACAGAGCTCTTTAAGCTTACCATACCATTGACTGATGTTGGTCTGCTTCAGGTGTTGCAATTTGGTCGGGTAGTGAGACTTCTTTGCAGTGCGTATTTCGCGGATGACTCGGTTGCGAAGGGACCTGTAGTGGATGTGGTCATCGAGGCAAAAGGCTGTCTCTCTGTTGCACAAGTCTTTTGACTGCCTCTATGCTCCCTCTCTGCAGCTCGAGGGAACCAGTGACGTCATAGCCAATCACAGAGTTTTTCGCAGTAACTTGACTTTTAGCAACTTTAACCCTTAATTTTTAAAAAAATTTACCTTCGGTAATTTATTCAAATATATTATTCCCATCATGAATTTAAGTGTTTTCTTTACCCATTAACCTGCCATCTTACGAAAAAATTCTGACCGTCAACTCATCAATTGTAGTATCAAGATGGCAAGGGCGTGAAAAGAAAGGGTGGTGAATAAATTTCTTAGGCTGATAATAATAGACCAAGTAGAGAGAGCAGTTACATGTTCTCCTGGAGAATTATCTGGAGTTATGGAAAGACCTAAGTGAATGATGTAATAGTTGTTGAAATATTGATAAATGCATATTTTTGACTGGCTTTCTGTTTGTATTTCAGGACAAGAAGATTATGATAGACTGCGACCTCTAAGCTATCCGCAAACAGACGTATTTTTAGTCTGTTTCTCTGTTGTGTCCCCATCATCATTTGAAAATGTCAAGGAAAAGGTTAGTTATAATTCATATTCAAGTCTCCTAAGTTTTCTATTTTCATTGTTCCTTTTCTACTCACTGTTGCATTTGATCCAAAAGAATTTTCCCAAACACTGAAAAACTGAATTTTGTTTCGTCTTTTGAGCTTAATCAATGAGTGTTACAAAAAGTAGCTGTTTAGATATCCTCTAAAAGTTTTGAAAGTAATCAATAATTGCACACACTGTTTTGGAAACACTCCAGCTCTTGTTATTAAATTTAGGATGCTCATTACATTGTCATCATAGACTTAATGTTTGTGTCTAATGAGTTTAGTTTTGTTCTTTGACCTTTTTACTAGCTGGCCGTCCATTCCAAATTTCATCCATAGACCAGCAGATGATGCAAATTGCATTATCTAAAATGTATAGATTTTTCTTTGAATGCCCTGTATTTCAATGTCTATCATATTTCGGAATTTTACCAAATACTCTGTATTACGAAATTTGTAATATATACTGTACTGTATTCATAACCGCAAAACATTATGAATTCTGAGTGATTTTGAATTAGAGGGGTGCTAATTATGGGGTTTTTACTGTAAGTTAACTGTAAAACAGATACAGTTGTTGAACAGCAGAAATAAATGGATGGGCATTTACAGAGCTTTATTAACTAGTTATTTAATAAATTACATGCATTTTACAGTGGGTGCCAGAAATCACTCATCACTGCCAGAAGACTCCATTCCTCCTAGTGGGCACTCAAATTGACTTGCGAGATGATGCTGCTACAGTAGAAAAGCTGGCCAAGAATAAGCAGAAGCCTATAACGTATGAACAGGGTGACAAGCTGAGCCGTGAGCTTAAGGCAGTTAAGTATGTTGAATGTTCAGCACTAACACAGAAGGGCCTCAAGAATGTATTTGACGAAGCCATTCTTGCAGCCTTAGAGCCTCCAGAACCCCAGAAACGAAGGAAATGTGTTGTTCTGTAGGGTAGGACACATCCATGGTAGACCTTGGAGGAGCCCCAGGCATATACAAGATGTGCAAGATTGCCTTTTATGGTCAGTAGGGTTTTTGTGGAGTTAGGATTGCCTCTGAAGCTATTTGGATGAGATAATTTTGTCAGTGTTATAACTGCAAGAATGTGTGTTTTTATTATAACAAGGTATATTCCAGTAGTGGATGAAGGAAGATGCCAAAGTTTATATTTCTTGGTGAGTGAGTGAGGCTTCATGCAGCTTTGGGGCTGTACTCCTTGGGAGAATGTAAGCAACCTAAGCACAAGAAATGGCTGCCAGGTAGCATGGGTGGAGAAGCAGCATTGTGCGGCTGAATGTATTTCTCGCACAACCTCCTTTTCCATCGAAACATTTACCTGTTGTGTTCCCACTTGCCCTCTCCCCTCTCCCTGGGCCAGCATCCTACCTGTGCCACTTGAGAGCCTCATGGTTCCACTTGGTTTGCTTCCAGTTAGGTCAAGAGTGTCCTTTCATTTTTTCATATAAACTATTCATGTAAACTACTATGGAGACTTTGAACACAAATATCATCTGATTCCAGTCATCCCAGAATTCTCTAGTAGATTCATTTTATTCATGAAACAATGATCAACATCTCAGTATTCAAGTTCTATTAGGATCTATTTCTCTCTCTCTCTCTCTCTCTCTCTCTCTCTCTCTCTCTTTCTTTCTTTCTTTCTTTCTTTCTTTCTTCGGCTTTTTCAAAGCTTAAATGCATCTCATCCTATTTACTAGTAATGAATTTAGAAGTGTTGATAAATTTAAAAAGTAACCCATATTTGTATGAGCTTAACTTCTGATATAACTGCCTCAGACTATCATAAGTTTCCTATTCTTACATTTACACTCTTCATTGATGTGTATCTAGCAACTATAACTTCTTTTTTATTGTAATTTTAGTGCAAACTTTAGAAAATGTCAGTGGATTATAACTTGGTTTTGTGGGCTCAGTACCAAGATAATCCCTAAGACAAGACCATTTGATTTTAAGTAACAGTTAATTTTTTTTTACTATGTGGTGTGCCTGAGTAAGAAACTAGGTTTGAAGTAAGTGGCATTTATGCAAAGGGGTTATCAATTATTGTTCACATAAAAGCATGTTGTTCCCAGTGTTTTGAGTTCATGTACTGCACAGCAGAAGTATCTGCTGACGAGTCACCCACCTATGTGGTCATATGCCAGCTACTTATGGGTGCTTCAAGACAATTGGGAATGTCTGATGTAGTAGAAAGTTATATATTGACTAAGTAGTTGGCTCAATGATATGAATCATTATTTTTGTACAAAATCTGTAAATCTGAAAGTAGTGTTCTATGATTTTCCAAATTTCTGCTGCTTCAGACACAAAGTTTGGTGATAACCAGATGGTTGGTAGCTACCTTGCCTCATGTGTTAACTAACCCACCACTGGTCTTGGTAGGGAACTCTTGTTTAAAATAACTGTAGTTGCCATGTTGACCATTGCAAATATAAGACAAATTGATTCTGTCTACATTTAAAGTGTGATAAAACCTCATGATTTTAAAAGGAAGTTTGGTATTTATGGAGGGAGTTACAAATAAACCATTTGGATTGGATTTGATTATTGTTTTATTTTGTTAATCCTAAATGTTCAATAAAAATGACCTGGGCATAATGAAATTTGTAGGACTAGGCTGTTGACACCAAAATTATCATTCTTCAGATCTGTAAATGCATGAATTATCTTAATATGGGGGGTGGGTGTTGAGAAGTAAACTTCTCAAGTTAGTATTCTTAATGCTGAACATGACTGCCATGTTACTACCCTGTACTTTATATAGGCACTTTTGTAGTTCGTTTACATTATCACTTATAAATATTGGGGATGTGGGGTGAAGATGCACAATATTTTTGTACATTATCAGTTAGAAAGGATTGTTTTGGCAAATTATTAAAAAATAGAAATTTGTGAAGTCATTCATTTTCTATAAAGGGTGGTAACTTGCCTAGGTTGCATCAATCAAATGTTAATACAGGTACTCCTCGACTTACGACCTACTCGACTTACGACCACCCGGACATACGACCGCCGCAGTTGTATAAAATATTTTAAAAATTACATTTTCGAGTCCCGACGTTATTAATCGCGCTGTGTACTGATAAATTTTCGTTTGTAATTCCCTTTAAAATGGCTGGCAAGCGTAAAAGTGAGAGTTCTCGTGGTGCTGAGAAGAAAAGAAGACGCCCATTTTCGATTTTCTATGTATTTTCGCATTTTCAACTTACGGCCTGGTCGTCGGTCCATAACCCCGTCGTAAGTTGAGGACTGACTGTACTGTACAATGTGTACTACCAAAATGTGAGTACATATTAACCTGTAAGGATCACCCAAATTGATTGAAGTGGATGCAAATGAACAATTCTAACCTGACTAGAGCAAGTAAATCTTAACTTTAACAGAACTATTTTGGTTTTTACAATGCCCATGAAAGTCCCATTATTGTACTGTACTGTAAATCCTTTTGAGCAATATTTTGGTTATTACTGGTAGGTGTTTTGGAAATAAACTTGAACCTGCCATTGTGGTTAATATGTCGGTGAATTTTATTTTCAAAACCAAATACAGTACCAGTATATAATATTCTTATTAAAGTAATATAATTTAAAAGGGGCAATAATATTTTATTGCATAAATTAATTTTTATTTTTTATTTTAACTTTTTATTATCACTTTTTTATGTCTGTTTGCACAATTGATTAAACTTCTCTGCCTTCTGTATTTCCAACCTGTTTTTCATTTTGAAGATTCTGAAATGTTAAGAAAATGAATTTGATTGTATATAAACTTGTACAGTGAGAAAATTTAAAGTGTCGCCCCAGGGTTTTGACATATACATTGCAGAATGGTTGAGCCATGTGACACAGATGTGTGGAGCCCATAAACCAGGGGTCTTCAACCTTTATATTATACTGTACTATTCAGCCACTAAATGGCAAGTGATCAGCAATCGGCCGCAGCTGTACTCAGGCAACTTCAGTCAACAATGTGTTCCACAGGATTGAATGAGCAATAAAAAATTCAGACTATATATTATTACTTTTAAGAAGAATTCTGATAAACACTTTAATTATGGCATAGCGAAAATGGAACAATCCGCACAAGCCTAATTTGATGTTCTATAATAAAAGGGCAAACAAACTTATATTAGTATAAAATTAGGTAACATACAATTTTGCTAGCTGTAATTGGCTTAAAGTATTATGACGTGTCCACCCGGGAGAGGGAGGGAGGGAGGAAAGACGACGCTTGACCTAGCCGCGGCAGTTTCATCCCTCAAGGCCACACCGTGTAAACGCGCATCCATTGTTCCGTAAAATGGCTTCCGCCGGACCACCACCCCCAGAGAGAAACCTTTCATTACCTGGACCCAGCGGCACTAAGCCAAAGAAGACACGACGTTCCTTAAGCTACGAGGTGAAGTATACCATCATCCAAGAGTTGGAGAAAGGAACAAGGCAGGTTGATTTGGCGCGCCAGCATGGTGTGAATGAATCTACGATTCGAACAATAAAGAAGGATGCAGCCAAGATAAAGGAGCACATGAAGATCACAAAGTCTACAGGTGCTTCTATGATCAAGTATTTTCACAACCAGGTGCTTCTCAAGACAGAAAAATTACTTGTGAGGTACTTGGTGCGTCAGGCGCGACGGAACATGGCGGTCGACACGCGCTCTGTTAAGGACTACGCACGTGAACTGTACATCGCAGTGGCACGAAAGATGGGAATTACAGAGCCCAAACCCTTTAATGCTTCCTCTGGGTGGTTACAGAGGTTTAAGATCCGGAACAAGATCACCAATATAAACATTGGTGGTGAAGAAGCGAGTGCTGATCGTGCTGCGGCTCGGGAATTTCCTCCGTTTTTACGTGAGATTATGGAGGAAGGACAGTACAGTGACGACCAGGTGTTTAACATGGACGAATCTGGTCTTTTCTGGAAAAAGCTACCTTCCAAGTCCTTCGTTGTAAAGAATGCCAGCAGGATTCGGGGCCGGAAGATGCAGAAGGAACGCATCACCGTCCTGTTTACCACCAATGCCTCCGGTACCTGTAAGCTCAAGTTATCGGTGATCCACACAGCACGCAAGCCGCACGCCTACAAAACCATGGACATGACCAAGCTAAATGTCCACTGGCTGACCGCACGTAAGGCGTGGATGTTCTCTACACTGTCCCTCTCCTGGTTTGATGACTGTTTTGTTCCCGATGTAAAAAAATTCTGTGAGCGACAGAATGTGCCATTCAATATTTTGTTGCTGCTGGACAACGCACCAGGACACTCGCCCCTACTGTTAGATCGTCACCCCAACGTAAAAGTGGTCTTCCTTCCTCCCAACACTACATCTATATTACAGCCCGTGGACCAAGAGTTAATCTGTAATGTAAAAGCTGCATTCTCAACAAAAAAACTCCAGCTCCTGAACGACTACACCAACACCAGGGAAGAGTTGCGTAACCTGAGTGACACCACCACCGATAGCAAGAGCGAAGAAGATGAGGATCAACAGTTGGCAGAGCAAAAAATAGTTCAAACAATTCTGGAGAGTATTTAACATCAAGAAAGCTGTGGACTTCTTGGTGGAGTCATGGGATCAGCTGTCTATTGCTACAATTCGTCACACATGGAGACATGTGTTGCATGGAATACCAGGTGAGAGGAGGAGTCAATCTGTGACTGGTGAGGTTCAGAATGTTGCAGTAGCAGTGGACCTTGCCAGAGAAGCTGCGCAGACTGTTACAGTTCCAGGCTTCTCCGAGACCACCAACGACGACATCCTGGAGGTGATCAGAGATCCTGAAGTGACTGCCGACGAGATGTTGGAAGAAGAACACGTCAGTGAAGAGGAGGAAGAAGGTGTGTCATTCTCCGAAGAACACAGTTTAAGTCATAGTGATATTAAGGGTGCCATGGAGTGTGCAGAGAAGATGAAGTCCTTCCTTTCCCGCGACAATGACGATGACCGCTATGAAGTCTTCCATACCCGGCTGGTGCAGGCTATGGAGCCGTACATCAAGGTGTATCACGACAACATCAACGCCAGCCGTCAGCAAAGCATAACAGATTTCTTCGCCCGCAACCCACCACAGCCAGCCCAAGCCAGTGATAGTGACAGTGAAGATGACTTTGAGGGATTTGTCAGGGAAGCCCTGACAACTGTAAGTGACAGTGATGGTGATTCACCTAGTAATGGTGATTCACCTGAGGGCCAGTAATCTGCCCTCTGCCTCGGAACCAGCCTCCATCCCCGTATGCCGACCCATCTCTTCTACTACCGTAAGTGTTCCACCTAAGTTTTAGTTTTCTAACCTAACCTTTATTTTTCCTATGTTAACCTTTATTTTTCCTAACCTAACCTCTTCTATATTACTTGTTTTTTCATACCATCATAAAGTTAAGATAAAATTTTTACTACAACATAGTTGTGTGTCGTCAAAAAGTGGAGTTTGGGGATCGGCCCGGACTCCATTTCAATTAATCCCATATGTTATGTTATTCACTTTACGCGTTTCTCACTTTCCGCGGTACCCTCCGGGTTACATTAACCGCGTAAAGTGAGGGTTAACTGTATATATATATTCTTGCATGCCAGTAAAATAATAAAACAAAATTGAATACAACAAATTATAGTAGGTCACACTGACAATGTTATTGAGGCTGTACTCTTATGGGAACATTTCTTGGACACTTAGCTCCTCAAAGTGGAACTCATATAAACTCAGGGTATTGCATCTTCAATGAACTTTCTGAGAAAAATTACACATCAGTTAATCCTTCAAAGAATTACAGTACAGGTACTTTATTTTCATCCAAAACCTCTGGTACAAGATTATCAGACAAAGAAATGATTCTTAACTGACTGTGAGGTGCTTAGGAGTATTTGAGTTTGTCCCATGTACCCATCAATGTGCTTAGCACTTGGAGATCGCTGTTGTGTTGCCACCTTTCTGGCTTTAGATCCACAAGTTGCTTATTGGAGGCATTAAGCCTGCAATTTGTAATCAAGTAGAACCCGAGTTAGATGTAAAACTTAAATGTGACCTGTTTTTCTCCAAAGTAGCTTAACAATGACATCATTTACAAGAGGTAATCATTAAGTTTGGTGACTATAGTAATGCATTTCATTACAGGGGGTCTCCAACTTACGATTACCCGCCAATACGAATGAGGTTAAACTTGAAATTTACAGTACTGTATTTTATTTACCTGATGACTTATTTTTTACTTTCTTTCACTGTATTTTGTCATTTTATTTCTTATTTTGTTTTATATTAAGTGATTTAAGATGTATATAAGGACTTAGGTTATGATATAGTGGGATTTTAAACATTGTTCTGGAAGTACGGTATGCACATAGCACGTGTTCCGACTTACTGGGTACGTACAAATCTGATTTAAGAAAGTCCTCAGTAACTGAACCCGTTTGTAACCCTGGGACCCCCTGAATTGAAATTTGATTTCAAATATAAGAGGTTAGCTTTAGTTAGCTTATGTGCAATTATAATACTGACAACACCAGAGGTATTGTATACTGTTAGTGTTATGCACTTCATGGAGGTAAGTTTTAAAGCGGATTCTTTCTTAGAAATTGATTGGATTATGGATTTTGAAGCAAAGACTTCAGTTTCTAGAATTTATTAAACATTTAAACAACAATACAAAGCTCACATTTTCACATTAAAAGTAATGATACCAGTGTAAGTATTTTCATAGTTAATGCTAGCCTAGTGACTTCACCAGTTATGCATTCAAATAATATGTCCAAACTTATAACAAGGTGTAATTTTGAAGTCGACATCAAATGTGAAATATAGGTATATAAACTGTACTCCTTTTGATGCCATTCAGTCATGGAAGTTCCAATATTATATTACTGCAATGTACATCTGATTTATATCGTCATTAAGTAAAATTATACTCGATACATATGTACTGTATACAGTAGTGATTTCAGTTATTATGAGACATGAAAGCATTTAAAATGAATGGTAAGATGCCAGTGCAGATAAGAAAACTAAATACTATGGCAGTGTTACAGCTGACATCGTGCCTGTCTCGACGCTGATTTAGATGGTTACAGTTCTTGCACTGTAGCTTCTTTTTCACCTGAAATTTACAAAAATGTTCATCAGTGTTTAAACTACAGTAAAAGCACTTCAATTTATAGTTTATCAATAATTTTGTTTTTTCAGTTTTTGATAAACTTAGTCAGAAATAGTGTCAGGCAAAAAACTCAAATTCCATCTAACCTATACAGTATTTACTTACCTTTTGCCAACTATGTAATCATAATATTCTACATTATTACCAAATGTGGTTTAACACACTATAACATTCACAACATCACTCATACAATTTAAGATAATCATTATTAATATATTTTCTCAAATGTTCATAACATCTCAGCATTTTGTAGTCAAGCTATCCTTTATTCTAATGTCTACCTCTTAAAAAAATATGTGTAAAGAGGGCCCATATCCCTTTCTAAAAGTCAACAGTCAAACTGTTACCATCTTTTGTAGCTTTATGAAATACATACAGGGCAACTCGTTGTATATTTATGTGCCCCTGTTCAATCTTAAATTAAGTACAGGTAAAAAAAATCTGTGGGCAAGCAGTTTTTTTTACTTTGGGATGGGAACTCATTTTAACCTCAAAGTATAGGGCCCTTCAGCAAATAAATGAGTCCTACAATTCATTTTGAGAGCAAGTTTTTGGTAAGCTTTAAGCTTGTGTTGTCTATATTCTCATGGTTTTTTGTTATCCTTAAATTTACTTAACTGCAAGACTCTTGGGTCCCTTTTCAACAGAATCAAAACATGCCATAACTTCCCAGAATATGAAGAAAAAATTATCATCAATAAATGTCTGAGTATGAACTGGTTTACATCATCAAACATCTGAGTTACTGCATTACCAAGGTGCACTCTCAACAAAAACTTCTCAAACACCTGGGCACGATGAATGTGAGAATGGGCAGAATGGGGCTTGTCATCTCGGAATGGTTTCAGATTCTTCGTTCATTTTCAGATTGCACAATGCTTATAGAATTCAAGAATTTTTTGGCGAGAGTGTACAGTACCTGGAAGGACACATATGAATGTATGGCCAGATGGATTAATAATATTCCCACATTTTCCACTGGGAACAAGGTACAATGAAAACAATTACTGTACAGGTACAATACCTGTACTTACAATTTCCAGAGCACTTCAAACATACTGTACTGTAAGTACAGTAGCCTGCTAAAGGTGATTACTTTTGTAAATTCTGACAACTTACCATGTTTCTCTTCAGAAACAGTTGTAGAGGCACGGACTTCTCCCTCAGTATTAGTTGCCACGCAAGTGTAGATACCAAGGCTTTCCTTAGTAACACGCATGATCTGAACCCATCCAGTAACCATATAGGGTTCGGGACCTCCACGAACTTGAACAGCAAAAGAGGCGTCATCTCCTGAAAATATAAATTCCATTTTAAGATTTAAAAAAAATATACTTGTATATAACACTCACTTTAAATACTACATGACTCACCTATTCTAATTGTAATGTTATAAAGTTCACTGGGACTGAGTTTTAGGGTTGGTCCTGACATCAGATGTTGTAATTGATGAGTGTCAGATGAGGTGTAAACAGTACATTATTAATTTAACATGTACTGGTCCAGCTTTCTGTTGTGAATGGCAACACATATTTCAAGATCCCTATTTAAAATTCCAAATTGTATCAAAAGTATGTAATTAATTATGGAGCAGTCCCAGTCTTCACTGGTAATTTCAAGTGGTTTTCTGGGTTTATTCCCATAACTTAAGTAGCATTAATATTGTACAATATTTACCCAATCCAGTCTTTGGTTACAAAATGAGATTTCAGGATTAACCTTCAATGTTTGTACAAGTTTTCCTTGTGTCAAGATAAAATATAATAAAGTACGTATTCCATGAAGTGTGCTGAAAGAATACAGTCCAGTACCCTACAGTACTGGATGTGTAAAAAAAAAAAAAAAATACAAATTTAAAAAACCTTTTCACATTGTAATATGAGTAAGAAATACAGGTACAGTACTGCAGTACAATATATGAAAACTTTTCACTTAGGTGCACTGAACAAGTACAGATGTTGTATCTGCAATACTGATTCAGTTGATCAATTCCAAATTTAGGTTTGTAATTTTAAGAACATATAAAATTATTTTCTTAAATTTTTTGTTGTTTCCCACTGAAATAGTAATGTGGGTCGAGGTGCATGAAAACAATGTGAATAAGCACACCAAGCTAACAAATACAGTTACAGGTATACAAGTATCCTTATCCTATCTGTAAGCAGGAGCTCAAGACTACAAATTGTATTACCCACTAACTAGCTCCATGATATGAAAAAGCTTGCAAGAGTGACAAAAGTACGAGTTATTGTGTATCACTTCTCTTTCTTACCTACAGATTCTCATCACTTTATCAATGCCAAAAGCCATATCATAATCCAAAAATGTATCACAAGTGTACTGTACTTTCAAAAAAAAAATTTGCACTGATACTGCTATTCTCATAAATTTTAAGTCACACAAATGGAACAAAGTGGCTCAACTGACAAGAGCATCTGAAAATGTACTCATATACAGTACTGTTCAATGCTGTAAAAGTGTTTGTGTACAGTCCTATACAAGAAGAATCACCAGTCCTCCATTTTGGCTTGGTATTGAAACTATGGCCTTTGACCTTCTGCAAAACCAATACTCTATCAACTGAGCTTACCAGAGTGCCTCCTGATCCATCCTATTCATGAATTTAAAATCAAGTGTCACTAGCTTGCACTAATGGTCATCTTTTATCAGCCATATCACCAAACTGCTACCATACGCAGTTTTATTCCCTGCATTACTGAGTCTATACTCTTAAACCTTTTTTTTTAAAGATAGAGAAAGTCAAAGTAGATAAGGCTACATCATCATTATAGAATACACAGTGGTGATGAATGAAGGATGTATTACAGCATTAATTGATCCTGGGTATAGCAAGACAGTTAATTTACAATTATGTATGTCCATGAAACTGAGTACAAACCTGGCAATTTGACTGATGAACCATCAGGGCGGTTGAGTTCCCAAGTAATCTCAGGAACAGGATAACCAAAAGCCTCACAATCCAGCACCAAGATGCTACCCAATGGTCGTATCTTATCCTCTGATCGGGACTTGATTATAGGGGCTGCCAAAAAATATATACAGTATACTGCATGTACATTTGATTTTAATGAAAATATACTGTATATCTTTCTTTAAATGATCCCTATCATTAAGTTCATTAACATACAATACAGGATCACTTTCTAATAGATCCATATAAAATAAAATCCAATGCACATCTTAAGTCTATGAATAACAACTCAGCCTAGGTTCAGGATAATTATCGTTGATAACAAAATTGTTGGAGGCATAATTAATTAATGGTGTACCATGTTGTTAATACAATTCTAATGTGAACTAACTGAACTTCCTTTATACTAACACAGTACGAGAGCAATGTATGACTGTAGGGTAAGTTATTTTATGATTTATGTAGTACATGTGTTACAAAATTGCTAATTAAAACTAGAAGCAGCAAAGGCTGTATGGTACATCTAGTGTTAATTAAGCAAAACTAGTTACACCTAAGGATGCTGGGGGAAACCCAAAATCTAGGACTAGCATATTATTAAACCTATGGACTTAGTTTTACCTATATCTGAACTTACTTGCTTCGCAAGGGCCCCTGACAGCAACATGGAGATCAGGCTTTTCTGTAGTGTCCTGCAGCAGGTGACAAAGGGTGGTGTAGGTGACACCGTCTGAACCACATACCACACCGTCGTCCTCACACTGGCAAGTTGCCTCACCTGTATTCTGTAAACGTAATGTATATATTTTATTTTCAAATCATTTGAAATATCACGTTTTATTTTGTCAAAATTCAAAACACTTGAGCAACTTACGGTAAATATTTATGAAACTGTTATTATTAGAAGTTTTGATTTTATTTTTTCTACACTTACTGTTTTGATGATTTTAAGTATAGTAAAAGAAGATAACTTTCTATTATAATTTTAAGTAATTTTTAGGAAACTTTTTATGTACTCTATCCTATGATCTTAAACTCCTTGTCAGTGGACAGGGCGTGAAAGATGAGGGAAATTACGGGGTAAAAACACGGCGAACACTGAAGTTATGGCATTGAAATTACGTCTTTAGGTGCATTTCAAACGCCACAAAGTTTCGTAAATCTTCACCCAACTTACCTTACCTACATTCTTATTTAAATATCATATACGCACTGTGCTACATGTGTTTAACCTTCCTTACAATCCTCTAATATACAAGAGGCAAAAACCACTTTTGGTTTCACAGGTCTTTGCCAACATGACAAAAAACGAGCAAATTTAGTATGTGAGCAGTAACAGAATATTACAAAATACAGGTGCAGCAAATAATTTAAATGTCTCTTAAATACTGTACCGAGTTGACTCTGTATTTCATATAAATGTTTAAACTTTAAACTCATTCCTCCGTATTTCCGTCAACTGCCCAACGACCGTTTACTAAAATCACCACCACTCACTCTTGCGTCCTGCCCTGTTACTCTGTGTGGAATGTGCGCCTCAGCAGCAACCCTCTTGTCAGTGCACCTGTCTGTAGTGTGGAATATACAAGTACTCAGAGCTGTGGACTTCGGACGGTGACGGAAGAGTAATCGGCGTCGATGGTCGTAAGTACCGTGTCTGTACCTACATTTAACTTAATGATTTAAGTTGAATACACGAGGACAGTTACAAAGTTTATTTAAGCCATTATCCTGGAGGTTATACACATCCATGAATAGGATTCGCGGGTATTATTTCAATGTGTTTCCCGGTGGTTTAGACAATTTTAAGACTTCCATTACGTTTCCCTCGCAAATTACTTACATATACCGGGTGATCCAGGGGGGGAGAACCCCCGTTAGAAGATAATTTTAGATAATTTGCGACTGTAACGTCATAGAAGTGTCTTAAAATTGTATAAACCATCGGGAAAACACATTACTCAACTGAGAGCCATATTGGTTGAAAATGCAAATTTGCCGATTTGCATATTAGACTGGTTTATTTTGTTAAATCCAGATATGTACAGCCTTTCCCTGTACGAAATAATGGCTCACCAGAAGTTTAAACCCCAGTTTTACCTTAGGATTAACCATCTTAATGCAAACCTAACCTCCCAGATAGCGTTTAAGTGTTTAATCATGGCATGAAATAAGCTGGGGGTTTAATCTTTATATGATTCAAAATAACTATAGTACAGTATTTAGGACTAAACATAATTTAGCAACAATTTAGATTGGTTTTAAGGCTAAAGAACGCGTTTCTCGAAGAAACTGAATACAGATTTGTACGTTTCTTGCATAAAGGTTGCCTCCTCCCCCCAAACCTACGGTTAACGAGTGATTTATTTTCGCATACGCTAATTCGCAAATCTGGCAAATTAAAGCAAATCCTTACTGGACTAGGTCTGATTTTAATGGATATGAACCACAAAGATTTGCCATCAGAATCTCTTCACCCTCTCCCTGCCAGGTTTGGATTAATTACACTATTTAAGGTCATTACAATTTCAATTACTCGACTAAAATTAAAATTACAAATACAATTACAATTACTTGGTTCACAATACTCTCAAATTACAATCACAATTTCATTAACATAAAATGTTGAAATTAATTACATAAAATATTACAATTACAAGTATTTTACCCATGATCGGACTACATAGTCAGGTTTCGAAGTACCAAGCAAGCACATTTTATATCAGATTCTGCACTTTATTGCGGTTAGATTTTTGCCAAAATTTTCTGTCACTATAATTCAGTACTATTCAATTCACAAACATTGAAGCTGATCAAATATATCTTTGTTGGATTTGATCAGCAGAAGTTTCCGGAAGGTTGCAACTCCTAGCTGCGCTCTCTTAGGGGTGAAAAAATTACCCGCTACACTAAACACTCTTTCTGGCGGTGCTGAAGTGGCTGTGCAACCCAACATTTCTCAGGCCAGGTGCTTCAGGGGGTGCATCTTTGGAGGAGAATCCCTCCAATAGATCAAGGGGCCCACGTCAAATGGGACAGTTTGGGACACAGTCCTCCCCTATATACTGTACTCCATCAACACTTGTTCAAAGTTATCTGTGTGACTTCTGCTCACCTTTAGTTGCAAGAGGCATAAACGAAAAAGGGCGAGGCCTCTTTTGTAAACTTTGCGTGGGTTCAGATGATTTACGCTGCTCCTCTTATAGTCCTTTGTCCCATTGTTTCCTTCAGTATTGTGGACTGGGAGTCAGATTCCGCAAGAACTGTATAGATGTGTCGAAGGACTACTACTTTCTTTTTCTCCTCGGGATGGTATCCACCCCAGCTTAAATCGAGGATCAAAGAAGGATACTGCTATACAATTTCAGGAATTTCCAGAAATGGACCAAGTTTCCGTTTCACTGCTTCATATAAGACTGGCCAAATTTTCACAGCAGGACAGCCCTGAATCAAGTAACTGTTGTAAGGGTTGCTATAGATTAAGAATTACTGGTCCAACTGTAGAGATGGTGACCTCCTTCTCACCTTCAACTTCTTCCATTGCCTCTCTGGTTGGATCAAGGATTAGCACAGCTTTCTTTAGTGCTGAAATCTCCATATGAGATAATTTCTTGTTCCTGTTCTCCCTACCACTCAGCAAATCAACAGCCTTGTTGACGTCGTCATCCAGACTTTTCAGAACTACCTTTATCATCTTCAGCTGTGGATGCCACCTGGTTACATTTGGAGACTGCAAACAGATTCCTTTTTCTTGGAGGAATGGTGCAGCAGAAGTTGATCTCCAGAGTGAACTTACAAGAGATGACGTTTTTTGAAGTGTTGTAGCTAAAAAAGAACTAACTCTAGTCTGGACTCCCGAACGTGTGTATTGTCATGTGTACTGTATAAGGACGGTATATTGGTACCTACTAAACTTTTATCAATATTTAAGTAATCCTTCATATTTCATAATGTCCCAGTTTCATGGTGTAATTGTAATTGTATTAAATTTAAACAGCAAATTGAAATTATAATTACAATTACTTTTTAGTCTCAAAGCTCAATTACAAATAGTTACAATTACTCAGATTTGTGCAGTTAATTTCAATCAGCTTCAATTACATTTAATTAATTGAGCCAAGCCTGTGAGTCCCTGCTGGTCTCTCCGCTGTGAAGAGTTAGATACAAGGCAGCACTGTTATACCAAGGGCTGCGCCGCCACCACAAGCCAGCTCAAAATGCTGCGTGCCACATCCTACCGTACCCAGCCACCATCCACTGTTTACCTTCCTATTCCGTAACTACCATCCTCTCTCTCATACCCATTATTCACATCCACTATCCTCCACCTTCTCACTCATATCCACCATTCTCCACGCCACCACTCACATCCACTACCTATGACTCATATATACCATCTTCCACCCACGACCCATCTTTCACCGTACCAGACTCCCGCCACAGCTAAGTAGGGCACACCAGTGAGTAACTGAGACCACCCTTTCTGCTCGTCAGGCACACATCTGGGTTACCATCAAGCTTCAAATGAATTTTTGTTCTTGATATTCCACAGACAATTTACCTTCATGTCAGTGACTATCTGTAGAAGTGATATCCGGGTTTATTTTCGTATTGGGTACTTTCTGTTCAGGGATAAGCTTATAAAGTGGCGGAAAAATATACGTTTAGTGAAAAAAACAGGTCAATTTATAGTCTTGCACCGGTCTTTCTTTCGATGTTAATATGTATGCCGTAATGTTTAGACAATTCGAAGACATTTTCTTCTATGGTATTTCCACCGGAAGTTAAGGATAACCGAGATATTAATTGTTCAATATTATTACATTCGCTTAGTAACATTTCCCAGTAGGATTTTGTCCATGGAATCATTCTCATGAACTTACCGCAACTCAAGCTCACTAAATTTCTTCTTAAATTGGGAAATTTTATATTGAAAAGCTTAAACAAAATTTTAAGTAGGCTGACGTGGCAATGTAATCAACTGCAGTTGGAAGGGGTCGGGTAGGACGCGCGGTGGGGGTACAGTTTTACACCTACGTCAATAAACAGAGCAAGTTGATTCAGGTTTTTTTCCTTTGTTCCAACTTATTCCTTTAAGAAAATTGTAAGATAAATTATGAAAACTTGCTACCTAACATCACCCTTTGAAGTTGGCGAAGGTTACAAACAAGAATATGCGCAAGAAACATTAACTAACTCCATCAAATAACTATTGTACTTAAACGCCAGAATGAAACTCTCTGGGCTGTATTCCCAAGAACGAAGACAACAGGCATATCATAATTTACCTAAAGAAATGATTGTGCGGACCCTAATCTACATACTGTACATAGTGATTTTCTATGTATGTACAGTATTTGTTAAATGATTTGCATATGGACAGTGTGTGGCTTTCGTCATGCCTATTTGCAAAGTTCGTATTAGTAGTGCATTTTCATTTCTTCAGGGTACAGATAGCGGTGTTTAAAACTTCTCTCACCTACTGCATTCTAATTGTAGAGGTTGTTTGTACTTTATCATCAGTGACAGTAGTAGTGATAATGTATTGACCATCACACTCTAAAGCAATATTCATCGATGAGAGAAAGCAAACTAGAGTAAGACACATCGAGAGAAAACACCATTGCCCTAAATTTTCCTTTACCAGGAGTTTAACCCATTTAGATAGGACACACACACACACAAAGTGCCACTGTTAAACTACAAATATAAGATATCACCCTCATGTGACATTCTTTGAGGATATTGTATGCCCATCAGATTTTGGCTGACTGGCACCTGAACT